CTCACACCTGTAATCCCAGCACTTTGGGAGGCCGAGGCGGGTGGATCACGAGGTCAAGAAATCGAGACCATCCTGGTCAAAAAGGTGAAACCCCGTCTCTACTAAAAATACAAAAAATTAGCTGGTGGTGCGTGCCTGTAGTCCCAGCTACCCAGGAGGCTGAGGCAGGAGAATTGCCTGAACCCAGGAGGCTGAGGCAGGAGAATTGCCTGAACCCAGGAGGCGGCGGAGGTTGCAGTGAGCCGAGATCGCCACTGCACTCCAGCCTGGGTAACAAAAGCGAAACTCCGTCTCAAAAAACAAAAAAAAAGAAATTCTTTTGACCTGAATCTCAATTGCTAATTTCAGTTTTTGCTTCATTCTCATTTCAGAGACATAAACTATACAACAATATAGGGTCTTTTTTCAAGATATGAAATGAATATGCAGCATTTAATGTTTGTAAATGTCATTCTTTTGCATAATACTTAGATCATATATATGACAATCTTGAAAATTTGATGACTGATGTTCCTGTGTAAAAAGATTCGATTATCTTTTGAACCTTGCAGACCCTTACTTTTGGTGATGTGGTTGCTGTTCGCCACTATGAGAAGGCATAAAAAAGTTCCTGGTCTGGTCTTAGAAGAGCTCTTCAGTTTTGCTCTTTACTCAAAATCAGTGCTATCCTATTGCAGCACAGCTGATCATCAATTAGAAGGTTATCCTTGGCATGGAGATGGAAAATGTTGATTTAAAAGTTTGTTACTCCAAGCAACTAGTCCACTTTTAATCTGAAAATTAATCATGTTTTAGAATTTGAATTAAAATTTTGTACCCTCCCTTTTTTTAATAAACAAGTGAATACATTTTATAATTTCTTTTGGAATGCAAATCAAATTTGAATAAAACCTTACACCTGAAACTTTGTTGTTGTTTCTAGTATCATTAAGAATTCTGTATTAAACAATTTTAAATAAAATAGTCACTCTTACAGCATAAAGTAAGGCTGGAAAAGTTAGCACTTTGTTTAAAATACTAATTTTAAAAATAAGCAATAGTCTTAGAAAATATGGAAATGCCACAGTTTTGGTTGAGTCTTCGCTGAAGTATCGGTGATGATTAAATTCATTTGGCCACAACCCAGAGAAGCCTTGTATAGCGGGTTGGGCTATGGAAGTGGTGTCTTTAGAAGAAACAGATATTTGAAGAAACAAAATGATGTATATCAAAATGTCTTATTAAAAGGGAAATATAATCAAAATATGTAATCAACATTTCTTATTGAAATGAAAATGGAAAAAGGGAGTGACTTTTGTCCTGTATTATAAAGATGTTTCTCCAGACAACTAAACTGAGTTGGATCAAGTCAGTTTAGTGAGAATGCAGATGGAGTGCTGTGCATAAAGACACTCAAAGTTCGGGGGGAGAAGAAAGGGAATGTAATTGAGTTGATCAAACCAAATTAAATATCTGTTTGTATCTGGCTAGGGCCTGAATTTGTGAAGTACAAACAAACAAATATTACTACATATTTTATCATTTACAAAATACTTTTTATTCATTTTCTCAACTGTGCAATGTGAAGCAAGAAGGCAGGTATTTATTTTTACTTTACCAATAAGGAAATTGAAGGTTAGATTTGCCTGTCCAAGTTCTCATGACTAGTAAATAATATTGAGAGCTGCAAATCTTGCAATCTTTCTCTTTATTTCCTCTCCAAAATTAATATTTAAGCTAACTTTTCTTCTGACACAAAAACACAGTATTTTATTCTCCCTGATGATTCCTTTTCTTTGTTAGCTTCTTGGGAGGCTGGGGAGGTAAATAAGTATCAGCACATATATGTAATACTGTATTCATTTTTAATCAAACTAGTATTTTCAGTAAGTTTCTATAAATTAATTCAAAGTTCAATTAACTGACCAGGCACGGTGGCTCACACCTGTAATCCCAGCACCAGCCTTTTGGGATGCCAAGTTGAGTGGATCACGATAGGTCAAGACTTAGAGACCTGCCTGGCCAAAATGGTGAAACCTCCTCTCTACTAAAAATACAAAAATTAGCCAGGCGTAGCGGTGCATGTCTGAAATCCCAGTTACTCGGGAGGCTAAGCTATGAGACTCGCTTTAGCCCGGGAGGTGGAGATTGCAGTGAGCCCAGATAGTGTCCTGTCATTGCACTACAGCCTGGGTGACAGAGACTCTCTCAATTAACTTACAGTTTTAAGTACAAGAAAACGTCCTTTTTTCCCCCTAAGCGATGGGGTCTTGTTTTGCCCAATCTAGTCTAAAACTCCTGAGCTCATGCAATCCTCCTACTTCAGCCTCCTGAATAGCTGGGACTACTGTCACCCACCACTGCACTCAGTTTACCTCTTTAAAAGAATGAAGCCGAACATGAACAGTGTGTTGGCTCCCAAGTGTCCTGACAGCCACCATCTCTGCATCTGGTGGAGGGCTGCTTAACTCGAGATTTCAGCTAATGCTCTACCAGAAGCCCATATTCTGGCCTCTCTCATTAAAGTTACAAAGCCAAAGATGGGGATTTATCTTTAGCTCATTATAACGAACCCCAAAAACATCCTGTTGACATCAGTTTCCATAACAACTGTCTCACAGAGTGAAGAATTAAAAGGTTTTGGTGCAGCCTAAATGGAAACAAAGATGCAATGGTCTGAAAGACCGAGGGTTGCAGTAGAACAAAGGCGTTTTATGGGAGGATAATTACCATGTTTGCTTCCTAAAGTTTTCTGTGTAATTGCAAATCATTTTTCTTCAAACCGAAGTCTTGTCATTGTTTCTTAACATAGTTAAACATAATTAAAGAAAAGGAAAAATGACCAAGACCAAATGCAATTTGACCAACAGGCCCTGGAAGAACATTTCTGAAATGATACAAAGGTCGCAATAACACAAACTAACACTGTTTTGTGAAGCTTCTTCCCTCACCTAGATATACATTCACAGTGACATACATGTAGACCCGGAACATGGAAAGCTACAAATATATACCCATGGTTGAGGTATACATGTGGAGATGTTGTGGCACTGTAGCTTTTTGTTTCTTAGAGAATTAGGAAAAACAAGAGCGGGGCCGGGCGCGGTGGCTCAAACCTGTAATCCCAGCACTTTGGGAGGCTGAGGAGGGTGGATCACGAGGTCAAAGATCGAGACAATCCTGGTCAACATGGTGAAACCCCGTCTCTACTAAAAATACAAAAAATTAGCTGGGCATGGTGGTGTGTGCCTGTAATCCCAGCTACTCAGGAGGCTTGAGGCAGAATTGCCTGAACCCAGGTGGCGGAGGTTTCGGTGAGCCGAGATGGCGCCATTGCACTCCAGCCTGGGTAACAAGAGCGAAACTCCGTCTCAAAAAAAAAAAAAAAAAAAAAAAAAAAGAAAAGAAAAGAAAAGAAAAACAAGAGCCCGGCCTGGTGGCTCACACCTGTAATCCAAGCACTTTGGAGGCCAAGGTGGGCAGATCACCTGAGGTCGGGAGTTCAAGAGCAGCCTGACCAACATGGTGAAACCCCGTCTTTAAAAAAATAAATAAATAAAAACAAAAGAAAGTGGAGTAGTAAGGAGGATGGTGTTTCTACCCACTAAGTTTAATATACTGTATTGTCTTTTTAGGATTGCAACACTTCTTAAGTGTCAAAATGTGTATGCCTTATTTTATGCTTACTGAAAAACTATTTCACAGTTACTTCCAGTAAAGTATACTGAAATTGGAAAAAAAAAGTGAAAATAGCTATTTTTTCAATTTATCCTTTTCCTAGCTTTCAAATGTTTGGACTAAAACTGCTAAGTTGTTTTGTTATCCTTACAGTTGTATTCTCTCACCAGCTCACCAGAGGTTGTGAACTGAGAAACTCCAAGGACCATCTTGTCCAACACTGGAATGCACTTTGGTTCTTAAAAGCTTTTCAATCATCCAAAAGCTGAAGCAGGACTTGGGCTGCCCTGGCAGGACTTGAAACTGTAAACCAAAAGTACCTGAGACAGGTGTCAATCAGTTTAGAACGTGTATTTCGCCAAGGTTAAGGATGGGCCAGTGACACAGTCTTAGGATGTCCTGACATGTGCCCAAGGTGGTCAGGGTACAGCTTGCTTTTATACATTTTAGGGAGACACAATGCAGCAATCAGTACATGTAAGATTTTACATTCGTTCGATCTGGAAGGGCAGGAAAACTTGAAGCTTGGCAGGGGGTGGGTGTTTCCAGATCATTGGTAGATTTAAACATGTCCTGACTGGCAACTGGTTGATTGAAAAAGTTATTATCAATAGAAAGGATGTCTAGGTTATGATAAGGGGTTTGTGAGACCTAGGTTTTATCATGCAGATGAAACCTCCAGGCAGCAGGCTTTAGAGAGAACAGACCTTAAATGTTTCTTATCAGACTTAAGGTCTGCCTTGATGTTAATTAGGTATGTCCAGCCCCTCCCCCAACCCCCTTTTCACAGCCTGAGCCAGTCTTTTTTTTTTTTTTTTGAGACGGAGTTTCGCTCTTGTTACCCAGCCTGGAGTGCAATGGTGCGGATCTCAGCTCACCGCAACCTCTGCCCCCTGGGTTCAGGCAATTTTCCTGCCTCAGCCTCCTGAGTAGCTGGGATTACAGGCACACGCCACCGTGCCCAACTAATTTTTTGTAATTTTTAGTAGATACGGGGTGTCACCATGTTAACCAGGATGGTCTCGATCTGCCGACCTCGTGATCCACCCGCCTCGGCCTCCCAAAGTGCTGGGATTACAGGCGTGAGCCACCGCGCCCGGCCCCTGAGCCAGTCTTCAGGTTAAATTTTAAGGTGCCCTGGCTGAGGACGGAGTCCATTCAGATGGTCGCCCATTCAGATGGTTGTGGGGGGGGGTCTTCAAATTTTATTTTTGGTTTACAAAACAGAAAATGGAAGCACCTTGCTTCCCACTTGAAAGCCTTTTTCATGAGACACACTACCATTAAATTACATGGGATACAAAACAAAGCTATGATGGGAAAGAAATACACTCTACAACATCTTTTATGCAGTTAGTAATTATGGGAAGCATTTTATTCTGCAAAGGAATTCCACGCCCTATAAATGTAAAGTATTAGTTTGTCATCTCCAGGCAATCAGCATTCTCATAAACAGTGAGAGAAGAAATACAGAATACAGGATCCAGCACAGTTGAGGGATTCTGGCTTGCCAGACTTATCTTTGCTTACTTCTTTGTACAGACTTAGTTCTATGCCAAAAGTATCTTCAAAAAGTTCCTTGGAAGGGTAAAATCAACCACCTCTACTTATGATTTCCATGAATCTCTGGAGTGCATAAGCACAATTCCAAGTCATGTTCTAATTCAGTTCAAAAAAAAAAAACCTGGTATCTTTGAGCAGTGGTCTCAAACATCACAATCACTTTAAAATGACCTGAAAGCCTTGTGAAAACAGAAATTGCTGGGCTCCAGCAGATTTCTGACTCAACGGGTCTGGGGTGGTGCCTGGGAATTTGCATTTCTAACTAAAGTTCCCAGGTCATGCTGATGTTGCCAGTCCAGAGACCACAATTCGAGATCCACTGAGACCCGCTGTGCTATCCAGAACTTTTGCTGGTTTCCTCCAAGTCATGATATCATGATACCTCAGGGATCTCTCTGCAACACCTCTACTGAGGAGCTCTACCATTAAACTGGGCTATGCTTAGTGAAGGTTGGTCCAAGAATGTAACCGGGACTGTTGAAATTTCAGCACCACAGCCTTTTTTTATGACTGAAATAATGAAAATTCTGATCGGACCCCTGCTTGCTGGTACATTTTAACCACTCGCTTTTTGCCCAATTCTCCTTGTTTCCACAACATAATTATAAACTGCAGATGTACTGCTTCCTTCTCAAGCACAAAGAGGTAACTTCAGGGTCACAAAAATGTGTGTGGAAGGGATGAATACCTCGAAGGGCATTGTGACCAGCTGCTGATGCCTAGACGTCTGATTGGGTTGTTATCTGAGACTGAAGAAACAGCCTTTTCCCCTGTATTCTTTGAAACTCCCCATCTCTCATTTTCCAGCAGTATAAAAACTCCCTTTTTTTTCCTTTTTTTTTTTTTGATGTAGAATTGTTTTGTGTTCCTCATGCTACAACACAACCTTCAAAGTCAGCCACGTATATAACATTAATATGAGTCCTCAAAACATCAACTTAGATAACCCATAGCCAGAGGTTCTAAATTGCTACAATACAACTTCAACATTCAAAAGAGTACAATAATGTGCTTCAAATCCCATCTCAATGCAAATTTAAGAAAAGCAAAGCAAACTGTATTACCATACTACCAAAACTCAGTAAGATTCTGTAATTTAATATACCTACTTCTCAGCGCTCTAAATTTCTCAACACTAGGGAGAGTTTTTGAAGGTATCGATGCCTGAATTCTTCTCCAAGCCAATGAAATCAGAACAGTTAAATCAGAATCTCTGTGGGGCATCTTGACTCACTTACTGCTTTCTAACACCTTTTACCTTTGGGCCTTTTCAAATGTCCAAAAAGTAGTAATATTACCATCTGTGTTATGATCATAATATAACACCTAAGAAAAAACAAAATGAAGACTTAGAAAGATATTTGTTACTCATTTAGAATTATTTGGTATAACAGTATTTTCCAATGGAGGAAGACTATTGGATTTCAGGCATAAAACAATGCAAAAAAAATCTCAAGACATCACAGGGAAAGGAAGGTAACTTCTGACTCTGGTTTCCCATGTTTCAGGCCAGGAAAAGCAAGGAAGAAAAAGATTTCTCCTTGGCAACAAGTACTCATGTTCTAAAGAACAATTTTATTTCAACCCATTAATTTCCTTTTCATGCAAAATTGCAAAGATAAAGCAACATAAAATATGAGGCTAAAGAAAAGGGAGAAGGTTTTCAAGTCTGTCAAAACAGAGATTCAGTCCAACATCATGCCAATTTTTATATTAATTGTAGTCCCTAAGTTTTCATAACCAAAAAAAAAATGAGAATAACCTTATAGCTATCTACTAAGGTAACAAATTGTAAATAAATTCCCCAATATTTGCTTTGAAAATAAATCCCTTGGTTGTTAAGAGAAATTTCAACTTCCAACTCCATCCAAATTTAGTATTTAACTGGTATTTGTCAGTCATCATCTACTGTTGGCTTGATCGTCACTCCTCTTCTTATCTGACCCCAACCAATTAAACGCCAGTGTTTTTCAACTCTTCGACTAAGGGCAATCTTTTCTCCTACCTCTGTGCACACTGGATTGGTCAAAACAATTTTACCCAAATCGGCCTTGACAGCACTAACTCTCCCTCCTGTCGACAGGGACCCTATGTTCACCATGAGCACTTCATTCTTAGACAGCTTTTGCACCTTTGCTGCCTTCTTGTCTCCTTCAGTGCGTACACCTAGAAGCCGTCTAAGCAGGAAATAGGAAATTTCCAATTCTGTGAATATCTCAGGTAAGGCTCCAACTGCACCAAGTACTTGCCCCACCATTCTGTCAGCCCGGCACAAGGTGGGGTCAATTTTTGTTCCAACTCCAATAAGACCACCCGGAGCAGCATATTGCAGATCATTATGCTCCGCAAAAAGCGATACAATTTTGGAAAAGATTGGTTTACACATGAGTTTTCCTTCACTATCCTTGGAAACAATACCAGGTCTTACTTCTATCTCCTGGCCCACCTTTAATACTCCTTTTAGGATACTACCACCAGCTACACCTCCCTTAAGGTCATCAACTTCACAGCCAGGTTTGTTGACATCAAAAGATCTAATAACAATAAGGCGGGGCTCTGAAGTAAAGTCTCTTGGGGGTACGGGAATTTTCTTTACTATGTACTCACAAACAACTTCAATATTGTATTTCAGCTGAGCAGAAATTGGAATAATGGGAGCTCCCTCTGCTACTGTACCTTGGACAAAAGCAAGGATCTGCTCATATTGTTCTTTCGCCTGACTTTCTTTTACCAAATCAATTTTATTTTGTAGAATCAAAATATGCTTCAGTTTCATGATCTCTATAGCAGCTAGGTGTTCAGATGTCTGCGGCTGAGGGCAAGATTCATTACCAGCTATCAGCAGAAGAGCTGCATCCATCACTGCTGCACCATTCAGCATAGTAGCCATCAAAATATCGTGTCCAGGACAGTCAACAAAGGAAACATGTCTGACTAATTTGAAGTTCCCTTTGGTCCCCGGAATGTCTGTAGGAAACTCATCAGGTGTACTGCTCCCACAAGATCTATAACATTCTGGCCGAGGGCAACTTGGGTCATCAAGTTTATAAATCTTAGCATTAGCATATCCAAGCTTGATTGTAATATTTCTTTCTAGTTCATTTTTGAACCTGACTGTGTGAACTCCAGAAATAGCTTTGACAACTGTGGATTTCCCATGAGCTACATGACCAATTGTACCTATATTAATTGTGGCTTGTCTACTGATAACTTCGTGTGAAAGTGGCGTCAACTTCGTAACATCCAAGGTGGTGAGATCCTGGCGCGAAAGATGCGGCTGCCCCAGAGTCACTCCAGCTTCTCCTCCCGCCATCTTGCCAGAAGAGCTGCTTTTTCCTTTTTATAGACGGATTTGAGAGATACTGCTCTCCCTCCTTCTGGCTTTGACCAAATCAAATAAGTCTGTGTCTATCCCCAAGCACCTGTGCGTCAGTGTTTGGCATCAACTGTACCACTGATACACCAGCCTGAATTTGAGCTTCTGCAAGAACACTCCTTCCTAGGCCAGCCACTGACGCTAAGAAATAGGAGAACAGATCATCACTACACAGCGGCTGAAGGTCAGGCGAACTGACGCGCTGCAGAATCTGCCTTTGCACGTGATCAGCCGGGCGTCTATACCCGCGGCCGTCTTTGCCTCCTCCTCACCGTCAGGCCTGAAGGTCCAAGTGTAGCTGCAGGACAGCCCAAGCCTCCGGGTGGGCCCCGCGGCCCTCTATGGCGCTGCTGCGCGCGCTCGTCTGCGGCTTGCTGACTGCTTGGCTCTACTGCTCCGGCCTCGGGCTGCCAGTGGCGCCGGCAGGCCGCAGGAATCCTCCTCCGGCGGTAGGTGAGTTGTCCGCTACCCTTCTCTTCCGGGCAGGGGCGGAGAGCGCCGAGCGGCGGCGCCTGCGCACAGCTGGAGAAAGAGTGTTGGGGGCAGAGGCAGGGTCCTGACGTGGCCGGTGTAGACTACGGCGCCCGGGAGGGCGACCCAGGGACTAGAGCGTGAGGGCGTCCGGCCGGGAGGCCGGGGCTGGGCGGGGGGAAATGCCTGCGCCGGTGGGGGCGCTCCAAGGGCCCGTCGGCCGGATTCCGTCGGCCTGGCTGTTGTTTACATCTTGCATCTCAGTTGATTTCCTCCTCCGGGCAGGAAGGAAAAGCTGCGGGACTCAAGGGAAAAGGAAGCTGGGAGTGGGGTGTCCAGCACTTCTAGAGACCCCGAATCGGTCCTGAATGGAAAGGGACTGCAGTTTCCCCCTCAGCTCGGGGATGTACATTTCAGTGGGACTCAGAGTATCTTCTGCCCCGCTCGACTGAGGTCGGTGGCGTTTTCTGTCACCCTCCCAGCCAGATAGTGAAAGCACCGTCGGTGTAAACTCGCCCTTTAGCCTACCGGGGGACTTCATTTCACCCGGATGTTCACTAGGCTCCCTGCGGACGGCACCCATTTTACTCCTAACACAAAACAGTGCCTGTCACAGTAGGGATCTCTTAAGTGTGGCCCTGGACCGGCGGCAGCTGCCGCGCACCTAAACTTTTTAGCATTGCAAATTTCCAGCCCTTCCCAGACCTACTGAATCTGAAACGCCGGCATTGGGGTTCCACAAAATGTTATTTAACTAACCTTCTGCGTGATTCCGTTCCGCTAAGTTTGAGACTCCCTGGTCCAGAATAGATACATTTTGGTGAGAATGCCATCTGAGCCTCCAGTTTCAAAAATCAAGGTGCCCCACCTCCTTGACTCCCTTTAAAGATAATTGCACTATTAGAGGAAAAACAAAATTAGAGAAGGGGAAGTTCTGTTTTCTTTTGGGGGAGAGTTGTCCCTGAGACTCGGTAGCAGCCAAAAGCTCTCTCTTCCCTGCCTCTGCGCTTCCTCAGGACTTGGGAACGCTCTGGGGTAAATATCTTCTCTTTGAAGGCCAATTCCTCTCGACTCAGCTTTCTTGAGGTCTGAAGCAAAAACTGTAAAAACCGTAAATCTGGTTTCCCAACTATGTCAAATGTCAGTCATTACAAGAAATTGCCCCAAAATATTTATGTATACTGGTTTCTGTTTTTATTACAGCTTAGTTTGTGTTACTTTAATTATATGACTGGTTAGGGTATTGAAATAAATGTCTCAGGTTGCTTGAGGCCACACAATGGCAAATTCACCACAATGGGCACTTTCTGGGTACCATGTGAGTCTTCACTTCACACCTCTGTTTTTTTTTTTTTTTTTTTGAGAAGCTGCAAGATTGAATTCTCTCCTACTGAAGGGAAGGAAGAGGGGTTACTGGAGGTCAAAGGTCTGACGCGTTACTGGAGTTACGGGGGTTCAAAGGTCTGAGGCGTTCACTCAGCAGTTTCACAATTCTCCTTGTTTGTAGTGTTAATTCGCGTCCAATAGTACCAAAACGCATTTAATAAAGAGCTCTTCCAAACAGGCTTTAGTGTGGGCGACAAGGCCGTTTTATAAGGACAGGAGAAGGGGGTAATAGTGGGAATTGGTTTTATAGGTTAGGGCAATTTTTTGGGGAGGTGGGGGGTGTTGCAGAGTAAGATCAGTTACAGTAGTGGGGGATAGGGACTAGGAGTATACCATACCATAAGTTCAGTTACAATGGCGGGTGGGGTAAGGTGGAAGAGTAAAGATGGTGGGGTGGGGCAAGATGTATTTGCATTATCATAAGAACAGTTAAGATGACATGATGGAATAAGGGTTATTCACACTATCTTAAGAACAGTTAAGATGGCAGGGTGGGGTGAGAGGCTTGTCCAAGGGAAGCTCTGCTGGGCGGTCAGGGAAAGCAGGTAGGGGGGTGGGGGAGGATCAGCCGAGGTAGGTAGGACTTCAGACTTTCTGGATCCAGGCCTGACATAGTGTTTTGCATGTTTTCCACTTGATGTGACCACTACCCTGCCCCCTCTTCTCAGCTCCAAATGCTTGGACTTCCTTTCACCATCCACCATGCCTGGCTACTGCCGGCTTGTCTTGTGTTTTTGCATTTAAATTCCCAATCTTCGCTTTCTGCCTTGTCAGGTTTTGGTGGTCAGAGGACAGAAGTCCTGGGAAGCTTCACATATGTGCTTTTGACTACAGTTCTTTAGATTTAGTAGGCTAGGACCTGCTTGTGTATTGGTACTGTTAAAGCAAACTAAATACGACCTGAGAAGGACTCCTTATTTCTGTATTTGAATCCTTGTGGATGAACTGTAATCTAGCTTAATAGTCAGATGAGACCGAAAACTAAGAGTTAAATAAAGAGTATGCTCTTTAAATTAAGATAAGAGCTAAATAAGTACCCGCCTGTAACAATAGCTAAATCTTGGCCAATCCCAACAGCCATACTTCAGCTATTCATACTGCTGAGTGTTCAAATTAAGGCACACCCTGGGCTGAACTATGTCTGAACTGTGGTTGGTTGGGTTCTTTAGGAGAAGTTATAATATTTTCTTTGTGTTAAAAAATTTTCTGGTATAATTTTGAGAGTTTCCTTGGATATGTTGAACACACACATATTTTTGGAAATCTTTTGAAAGATGGTCTGCAGAACAAGAAAACGTGTAGTAAAAAGAACTTTGGACTTTGAACTAGGGAACATGGATTGGATGTGGGCACTGCCACAGGCCAGGCCTTAGAAACACATGTGTGCACACATTTTTTATACAATTTCATTAGGGGAGGCAGATGAGGCTTCCAGATGTTCATTATTCATAAGTCGCAGGTTAAGAACCTGTCAGAGCTCTGTTCTTGGCTTCTATTTGAAGACATCTTTTGGTGAATTTAAATTATTATCTCCTAATTTATTTGGCAATGCTATGCAGTAGAAAGATCACTAGACTGGAAGTCTGGAGAGGCTGTTCCAGTTAAGCTTTCATTACTGAGTCATCATGTGATCTTGATGATATCCTGAAATTTGCCTTTGCCTAAATGTCATTATAGAAAAATTAAAGAATGTTTGTTGAAGGGCTAAAGTGAAAATTTTGCCCAGGATTTTGTCAGCACATTGTCAGCAACTGTCTCTATTTTTAAAACTGACCCTATTTTTGTTAGTAACTGTCTCTTTCTGCTTCTGTGCCTCAATTTATTGCTTACTAACTGGAAAGCCATAAGGCTGCCACGTTGTCTAAAACCTGCTGCGTTGTCTAAAGTCCTGAATTAACTTCCCCTGCCCCTTTACCTATAAAAACTGTACTTTTCTTAGTCGGGGTCCAGACTTTTGGGTGTGAACCCTTCTGGGCCCACCGGCATAATAAAGTGTGTTCCTCCGATCCCCTGAGTGCCACTTGGGTTTCTTGTCAGGAAAGATTTTTCCAGAACAGGGCTACTATAGGTCATGCATATTCTCGATGCTGGAGATAGAAATCTAAGTACTAAATTACATCAGAGGGGTGTACTCTTAATGCATTTCAGGTTTGGGTTTACTGAAACAAGTACTGAATATGTTTATAGTCTCTTTTGCCCCCATCTTCACAGTATCACAGATGTCATCATCTGTTTCTGAGACAGAGTTTTTTTCTTGTTACCCAGGCTGGAGTGCAGTGGTGCAAACTCCACCTCCCAGGTTCAAGTGATACTCTTGCCTCAGCCTCCCAAGTAACTGGGATTACAGGCATGTATTTTTAGTAGAGATGGGGTTTCTCCATGTTGGTCAGGCTGGTCTCAAACTCACAACCTTAGGTGATCCGCCCACCTCAGCCTCCCAAAATTCTGGGATGACAGGTGTGAGCCACTCAGCCATCCTTTTTTTTCCCCCCAGAGGCAGGGTCTCTGTCCCCAGGCTAGAGTGCAGTGGCCCAACTTGGCTCACTGCAGACTCAATCTCCCTGGCTCAGACAAACCTTTTACCTCAGCCTCCAGAGTAGCTGGGACTACAGGTGCCTACCACGACTTTTGGCTAATTTTTGTATTTTTTTTTTTTTTGAGACTGAGTTTTGCTCTTATTGCCCACGCTGGAGTGCAATGGAGCAATCTCGGCTCACTGCAACTTCCTCCTCCTGGGTTCAAGCTATTCTCCTGCCTCCGCTTTCCTAGTAGTTGGGACTACGGGTATGCGCCACCACGCCCAGCTAATTTTGTATTTTTAGTAGAGACGGGGGTTTCTCCATGTTGAGCAGACAGGTCTTGAACTTCTGACCTTAGGCGATCCGTCTGCCTCAGCCTCCCAAAGTGCTGGGATTACAGGCGTAAGCCACCACTCATGGCCAATTTTTGTATTTTTTGTAGAGATGGGGTTTCACCATGTTGCCCAGGCTGTTCCCAAAATCCTAAGCTCAAACAGTCCTCCTGCTTCAACCTCCCAAAATGCTGAGATTGCAGGCATGAATGCCAGTCATCATTATCTG